AATACCTTTCCCCATCCGTCTTGGGCGTTTGGGGAAAGGATGCCGGGGTCTCACAATCACCCATCACACCCCAGAGGAGCGCACAGAGGTTAGCTGACCTTTCTAGCTCATTCAAATTCTCCTCATTTCTTGTATAACCAGTGAACCTCACTGTAATGTCTCCATCTGTCACAGACTGCTAAAAACCTGGGGCCTGATCACATCCTTTCCTCCATCAAATGTAGCAAGTGAGTCCTATCTTGTCTATGTATCTTAGAGATTTGTAATCGCACAGGAAACATTATTAACCAAAAAAGCAGTCAAACCAGGGTTGGTATAGAAAGCTGCAGGAATGACGAAAAAAGGCCAATTGGGTTTTTCCATTTCATTTTAGACCAAAAGATGCTTAGAAGTTTTAGTTAGGAAATAAACCATCATAAATAAGCACCACTTTTATGAATTATGATATGCAAATTCAAACACAACAGGTAAAAAGTTGATGTTATGCTTTGAAACGTAACCATGGTTTGCAAGAATTTCACATCTGCACCACTCGGAAGATAAAAATAACAGGAGTATGATTTTTACCGTCATCAATTATGTTGTAAAACCCAATGGGAATTCTCTAAAGCTGAATTTAACCACAAAACTTATTCCAGGTATCTAACAATAAAAACACATAAAAACTATTGACTAAAAGACAAGGGAACAGGAGGTGCATAAATGCTGACTAATTTCCGAGTTTTAGGCCGCACTCCTTCAGTAGTCCATAAACACATAGCATTAAAAACAGTGCAAAATATTGAAGGAAATTATGATATGATGACTAATGCATTGTCTCCATTAAACATGTATCCCTGCTATGACTAAAAACAATATCAACCTCTCTTTATCCCCAGGTGTGAGCTGCAACCTACCATGAGCCGTATCCCCATCAGGAGGGTGGGGTCAACTGAAACCCCTCCTGCGAAATCCCCTACCAGTACTAACCACGTCTCATCAGGAGATATGGACACAGCCACCATGAAGGTCTGGAAACTGCTTAGACCTGGCCTCCGTCGACACCTGTCGCTGTCAGGCATGTATATACAAACACGTTGCTTTGCTATTAGGGGTAGTTTAGATGTTTGAAGGGGGGTTGTATTCAACAGTAGATGGCAGCCGGCAGATCCCCAGTTTGGAAAAATAGAGTTCCCACACAGTAGCTAAGCAATATGCTGCTGTGGACGGAGAAGCAGCAATGAAACATTCACCGTGAAACATAGCCCCTATGTATTCTCTTTTCAAAGCCACCAGACTACATTGACAATATCAGTAATTTTAGAGATTGGTGAGATACTTCTTGCTCAATTAGCTTGTTTGTGTTGAAGAGCACATATGCTAATTTTCAGGTTCATATTTGTATTTTGTGTCTATTGTGACATGTTTACTTTAAAAGGTATTTTTCTCAAACTGCCTGTGCTGCAGCACCTCTTTTCACCCTCTGTCTGTAACCAGAGCCCAGTCTGCTCTGATTGGTTAGCTGGTCGACTCTGTTGTGATTTGTCAACCACTTGGAGATGTGTCGTAAAAGTCCCGCTCCTAATGCTGCGTTCACACCGGACGCGATGCGAATATTCGCTTCGCTCTAAACGCTCGAGTTTCACCGCGGCTGTCAGCTGTGTTTACTCGCATCATTCATTAATGTAATGTAATTCAAACAAGAAGCGCTGGCCAGGGTGCTACAACTACAACAAGATGAACATATTTTACCGTGATTTAATTGTAATACACGTTTCAAAATGATGCCGAAGTAACAACATACTGATAATGGTTAGTAAAAACCATGAATTAATGCTTTGACAAGTCTGCAGACAAGACAGCAGGCGAAAAACCTTTTAAAATGCGTGTTTTCTGAATAGAGATCGGATCGATCAGGCTAAACTAACGTTGTATATGCTGCGTCCACACTCACAACAACGGCATACAGACATAAATAAAGCAGCGACTGTATTCGCCATGACACAGACAGTCTGTGGTTTGTACTTGTTTAACTTTTATCCAGTTTCTGAACAGATATGAGGAGCTGTGAGCTCTGAGTGCTAACAGCTGATGTTTTGGTTTTGTGGTTCAACGTCACTGACGGCAGGCTGAGATCCTCCCCGCTGATTGGCTACCGCGTGATCGCGTCACGCGAATTTGATGCTCGAGTTGAAAAGATTTAACTCGAGCGGTTGTCGCGGCCTCCTTCAATCGCCTCAATCGCGCCGCGGCATTCGCATCAACTGCTTCATGCGCGCCGGAGCTAATTCGCGTCCGTCCGCGTCTCTGCATTGACTTTACATGTAATCGCGCCCGGTGTGAACGCAGCATAAGCCTATCACTTACAATGTGTTGGAGCGCTTGCCAATAGAAGCGCGAGTGTTACATAGTGATGTCATTACGTTATGGAAGAAAACCAAGGAGGCATTTCAGGCAGGGGGGGAGGGGAACTCCCTCTGGGGGGAACTTTGGGATTGCAGCCTTTGCAGCCCATTTACAAGCGCAAAAACATAATATAACATACTACAGGAAAGGCAAATCCAAAAAAACACAAGAGGGCCTCTTTAATGTGTAACTTTATTCTTTTAAAGGGTTTGTTTTGATTCACCAGAGTCACACAGTGATTAAATGTACATACATACTGTGGGGGAAACTTCTGAAGCAATTGGAGTCAGGACTCAGAGAGAGACGAGGAGAGCTGGAGCTTTGATGGCAAACACTGACGGTTTATTTGGAGCTTCGGCCGGAGAATTCACAAGACATGTCACGGGCCACAATCTGACCACACGGTTGAGATGCCACATCAATTCTGAAGAACTCTACCCCAGACTCATGTATTTAGCTAGTTCTGAGAGAATAATCAACATTGTGCATAACAAGATAGAATCATAACACCTCTATCAGCTGACGCCAACAGGCAGGAACAGGGAGACAAAACACTGAGAGCACAGCAGCCAAGGCTACAGGTGCCTGTGCTCAGTGAGGTCAGTATAAACCATAGACTGTATATATAAGGTATAAACTGATAAACTGGGTCAAAGTTATGGGGCTTTGGAAAATATTTCACATACACATACCACATACTTAAACCACTCAATATGGCTCCTTTATTAACAAGTCTCACAGCGTTACAGAAGATACATTAATTGCTGCTTGGTACTGCTTTATAACTTCTCTCTTATTGTATGTAAACCACACACACACTATACATCGACTTCATATCACTTTTATTTCCCTCTACAGGTGTATCCGGAAAAGATGGTGGCAAGCAGTTGGCCTCTAAAGCACTAATGATGAAAAGCCCAGAGATGAGTCTCAGCTACAAAGGAAACACTATCATAGAAACCGCACACGAGACGGATGAAACGGAGCAAGAGGTGAACACAGTTTCAACTGTCACATCAAATTAATGTAAGAGGGAGGTTGAACATGAATGAATCAAATGACTCAAACTGTATGATGTTGTCTTCAAAGGTTGAGGAAGCTCCAGTGCTGCCCCTGCCAGAGACTGTGAACATGTGTGAGACAGTGACCCTGTGTGGAGAAGCCTGAGTACTGCACAGAAGAGGAGACGCTTGTGTATGTCTGTATTTGCTGAGCCTCACTTACTGTAATGTGACCAAAACCCATTTAAAACTAGGAATCCGGAGGGGGCACTGTCATCACGGGAGGATTATTTGGGGCATCTTAATGTGCAATGAAACATATGTAACATTATTTATTCAGATGTTAAACATTATCAGACTGTTGAGCTGGCAATAGGCAGCTTCACTGGAGCAGCTGGAGGTGTAGTGCCTTGCTCAATGAAACCACAACAGTTGCAGAAGTAGGGGAGTTACAAACCTTCCTTATCAAAGAATCGATAGACTTCAAACATCTTTTAACTCTTAAATAGCACCTCACATATCTGTTATGTAATTATAGTCCTGTCCTTCTGATGTCCCCTCCCCCCAAAAAGAAGTTAAATGCACTCTGACCAACACTGTAATGCACTGGTAAGTATTTCTGCAGTCAGTCACTTGTACTATTTTTATTCAGTCTGACGAGCACAGCAGCAACTCTTTATTTCCATTGCGACTTTAGAAACAAATATGAGTGAAGTGTGTATTTTATTGTGATTATTACAGAAGTTATTTGTGTTTTGCATATAAAAAGATATTCACCCTTAATGGACATTTTTACAGATTGTTTAAATAGGATATGTTGAAACTGATCCACAGCAAATAAATGTGATATGGTAAAGCTAAGTAAGTGCAAACGGGAACAATTATAATCTGCACTATTGAATGAGATCACCTGTGTGTGGTGATGTTAGGATAAATACTTGGAGGGTGCAGCTACTAGTAAGATATTAGATAGGACAAAAACAAGGTGACTGAAAAGTAGCAATCTGAGTAATGTTACAGAAAAATATCAAAGGCTTTGAATCTACATTTTAAGTAGAATCCCTTTTGAGAGAGGACCCCAAATCCCATAAAGCCTTGCAGTGGCTGTATCTACTCCAGACTACCAGAAACACTGGACATTTATTTTACACATGTACCTAAAATCCAGTTACACATGTGGCTTAAATGTAATACATAAAAAAACATTAGGGTCCAAAGGGTTGGTTGATATTGTGTTACACAATATATAATAAGTGTATCAAAGTTACTCTCCTTGTCACGTTCCTTTTAGGACGTTTTGCTCCACAGCACACAAATAGGAACCTGTTCTTTATTACCATATATATATTCATATTATATAAATATTTTATGTAAGACAAATAGTGTCAGGATTTGTCTATTTAAATGTTTTGAGCATATCTTAATCCATTCACATATGAACTGATTTTTACCAAATTACCTAAACTGTGACTGATATAATACTGTGTCGGAACTTGAATGAAACTTGAAGTATTAATAAATGAACTTGAGAAAACTGCCCTTTTTTGCAATATATAAACTCAATGAGAATGTATCTAATGTGCATGCAGAATAACGTGAGCACTGAACGAAACATTAAAGCAAATGGCATTCACATATTTTTATTAGAAAAAAACACTACTGTGCAATCATACATATAAATTCATCTCCTGGGACTGAATGTAGGGAATGTTGTTTCCTTGGTGGCGACATTGAGTCCCATCTCGCCTGTGGGGAGAAATCAAGATGTTAAGCAGGATCCCAGAAGTCAAAGTTTGGAAAGAACAGACCTCTGAATGCAAAAAACAAATATATCAAAGTGCTGAATCATCTTAGGTCAACATTACCTCTTCAATCATTCTGGAGGGACTCTACTCCTGCTTCTTGGGGTTATTGACTGCAACATAGTGGTACAACACAACCAGCAGGAACAATGACACGCCAAGCATGTTGGCAAATATGGCCAGCTGCACGTCCGTCACCATTCTGCAGGGGAAACGAGACATATAGTGAGGCGTTAGAAAGCTGCTTGGTATTACTGTATTACGAGAGGTTAATAGGATATCTTTCTTTTTTTTTCTTCTTACAAACATGTATAATAGGCCTTTAGTCAAAAGCGGCAAAGAATCAAATGAGTGTGCATGCTTTTACTTAGTTTACTTGTTTACTTTGCATCATTTTTGTCCAATCCACAAACTTAAATACACATATTATGGCCTTCCAGTCACTTGCTTACATCCATTCCATCCATTCAAGTTACATTATACACTTTAATTTTATAATAGGAATAATTTTAGACAAGAAAAAAATATACCTGTATAGTTATACATGAAAACATACACATCTAGCATTTATAGCTGTACGCTAGCACCTGACATGCACTAAGATGCTGTCACTGAACACACAAAGCACAAAATCGATTAATTCTGCAAGTGAATACTTTGTAAATGAATCAGGATATCATCGATTTATTGTTGCAACCATTCATTTGTCAGGGATAACATGGTTGTAAACCAAAAGTACCAAATTATGCTAAATCTGTGTAACATTAACCTAGCTAGTAAGCTACTAGTGCAACCAGCGTTGTCTAAACTAACCAATATAGGAACCATATAAAGCTTCGATTAAAATTACAACATTAAACATATAGCAATGAGTTTTAACTACTGTTATTACTTACATTATGCCTGAAATTGGGCTTTTACTCTTGGTTCAAGCGATACTTCAGCTGCTCAGCATCAAACAGGCAAATCAGTCGCTTACTTCCGGTTGAAGGGGAAAGCCACGTCACGTTTAAGAGCATCGGAAATATGAAGCAGACCTCTGATCATTAAACACAAATAAAACACTCACTGGACACATCAACAACTATTATACGTATTACTTTTGGGTGACAATATGATTCATTAAAGTTATGTCATCGTGAAGTGTACAGGATATGATTGTTTGTATTTAAAAAAATTAAATGTTTTTATGGCAATCATCCAGGCCAGAGGTGGCAGTAGTGAGCTCCGGGCAGCTGGGTGTTTGCGCTCCGTAGGAGTGGCTCAAATGTTTCGACATCACCTCACCCGGCGTGAACGACATCGGCCAAGCTAGATGGTACTTCGACACGGCAGCTAACGTTGGGGTTTACATTTCCAGAGGAAGAGATCTCCATTTACTTCATTGTGGAGCCATACTGTACGTTACCACCATGGCTCTTTACGAATATGTCACTCAGGACCAGCTGGCGGGCTTCGACAAATACAAGGTAGGGGGAATATCGTAGTAGCCTGCTAGCAACTAGCCATTGGACCGACAGTGCGTGTATGTTTAACAGCTAGCTGTCACGATCTGCAGGGTGCTCCCCTGGCAAGGAGTGTGTCAAGGTAGCCAGCGTAACCTCAAACCATACCAGATACTGGCCAAACTGCCCTGGAAAATAAAAGCCTGATTAGGTATAGCTACAGTATGATGTGTTTAGGCTCATTGTACGTTGCTATGGCTATTATGCTGTTTGATTGGTTGTCCTCTCTAAACGTTGATTGGGTAGAGTTTAAGTTTGACAGTAAAAGGCACCTTGCAGATGGGAAATGTTTCCTGCGTGGTGCTTGAACTCTAACTGCAAGGTTGAATTTCTGCCTCCCGAAATATTGTACACCCTATTAAGTCTGGCAAATAAAAGACGCATAAATACTATTCAAATGTGTTAAATGTTTGAATTGTTCGAAAACATATTGACGAACATGCGAACTTTTTTAGTTTGAAAGTTCCGGCCGGAAGTCTTGTTTTTGTGCCATGTTTTCCTTGACATTGGAGCAAGTGTGCTAACAGTTAGCTTGTGACTCCTTGTCTTTGGCTCTGAAATAAGGCTGTACTTTCTGTTTCCTCACATTTCAGACACCCCACGTCTGTTTTCTCTCTGTATATAATGCCAGAAGCTATTTGACAATTACTTGCATGCAACCACAGAAGATACATTAAACCAAATGACAGTTGGCTGTTGTTTTGAATAAGTATTGGATAAACACTCTGCTTTTACCAGCACATAGTACAGTACAAGTGCAATTAATACGTTTTCTATTAATTCCAGCGACCATAGCATGGAATTGATAAAATCCTTAAAAAATATATCATCCTCTCTGCCTTACAGCTAAATGTTGGTGTTTAGTTATTTCCCATAAAGATGAGAATCAATGTGGCAGTACAGACACAAAGAGCCTGTTGTCCTCTCTCTTGCAATGGAGGACTGTAGAAAACAGGAGTGGCAGCAAATAATCTTCTAACACATTGCAATTTAGTTCTGATAATGGGGTTTAAGTCTTACCTTAGCACTGTACATGTATTAGTTTATAATATACAACGTACTTCTTTAAGTTTACACACACGCCATAAAGCATTTCAGATTGAAAGCCTTTTACCATTTCCACAAAAAAATCCTCATTCATTGTAATGCTTTGCCACTCTTTTTAGAACAACAGATTTCTTTACTTTTTTATTTTCTTGTCATGCTCTTTGTCCAACTGTAGGTCATTCAGACTTTCTCTAACACAGCCTCCTTTGAATACTGCTGTGAAACCGCTTTTCCAATTTGTTTATCATGCAAGACCCTTTTTTTTTCCAATAATTGCTTTTTGAAGTGTCTCACTCGTGTTTGGCTACTGTGCCCTGAGCATCTCTAGCTGAAAGAGGGCAGAAGAAGACAAATGTCAGTTCATGAAAAAACCCTCTTGACACAGTGTTTCTATTCATGAAAGGGGCACAGACACAAGCTTACAAATAGAAAGCACATGAGAACGAAGGACTGTCTACTGATTGTGCCGCTACACCTTTCAAGCTGTCACCCATCGTTCCTCCTCTCACTTCCTTTGTCACACCTCCTACCTCGGTTTGAACATATCTTGTACTATCTACTTGCGTGAACCTGCCTTCATTTCTACAGTTTGTAAAATATTAGAGTAGATAATTAGGGTCCAACACTACATGTTCTTGCGTATGTGGTGATGAGTAATCACATTGGTTATCTTGTTGATTTGAGGAACAACCCACAACATCATGACTCTCTCAATCAACAGGGGACAATCTAAATATAGTGTTGGAGTTTTGTCAATAGCATACAATCCATAATAATTAAGGGACAGTTCATTTCAAAATCTAAAATACACACAATTCATTTTACCTGTAGTGCTATTCATCAACGTAGATTGTTTTGGTTACTCAAGATAATCTACAGACCTTTTTGTGTGCAGTTTCATAAAGGAAGTACTTTTACTAAACTACACCTCCCAACAATTGAGCGTGTTCAAGAGGAAATGTGCGTTTTTTTCTTTTGGGCAGTGATACCGTTACAAGTGTAGTTTGGTTGTTGAAAATAGTTCCTCCATGAATCTGCTCAAATAAGTGGCATGGTTTCTAGAAAGAGACATCGCTGTTGAATTCTTCAAATGTTTTGGGTGGCCAAAAAGTGCCATATAGTTTGATTTTTATATTTGAGAGATGGCTGAAATCTCCATGGCTGATGTCTCTAACACTCTTCCATTTCCAAAATAACATCTATAAATCCAACAACAAATAAGAGGAAAAATATGTATCTTAGATTTTGCGGTGAAATGTGCCTTTTTTCATTTAGAAAAATTAAATGTATTAGATGATTCTTTTGCAGACCCCGCACAATCTTGTGTACTTGGTAGTAGTGGTTCATTTTAAACACCAGAGAGTCTACTGAATAATTAAACATATTGTAGCCACCTGAAAGGGCAGATCCCAGAGTGCCCTTCCAACTGATCTCACAGCAGAAGTGAGATCTCAAACTAAAATAAATCACAAAAGAGAGCAGTCCAAGCAGACTCAGAGCCAGCGTTTATTCCTCAAAGACTCAAAAACCTATCATCCTAAATGGCTTGTACACTGGAGAGGGTGCGTTATGCTGTAGTACGCACACCGTTTCGTCATGCCTGGATTGAATAACAGCGACAGGGATCAGGTTTCTTTTGATCTGCATTATGACAGGCCACCAAAATATCCATAAATACCCAGGTTACATGTGAGGTCACGTGACTCTGCTCTACCAGCCGTAGTTTGCTTGCAATAAGTTTAATAAAATAGCCTAATAATAAAAAATGAATCTTTTGTATTATGTGTTGATGGTCACATCCTGACTGATTGATTATGTCTCTTACAGTACAGCGCAGTGGACTCGAACCCCCTGTCTGTGTACGTCATGCACCCTTTCTGGAACTTTGTGGTGAAGGTGAGAAACAACCTGTCCGGCCCTGTGTGTGTGTTTGTGTTTGTGTGCATACATAATTAATGAGGTTTCCAGCGTTCTGCTGTGATACAGTAACAACACAACCCACCACTTTATACTTATTTTCTCTGTCAGATCTAAGGCTGTACCGAAAAAGTCAAAAGATTCCAAACTTGATTCATAACACCCAAACATTCAAACTTACTGCAGCTCTTTTTTGGTATGCTTATTCATTCTGTTTAAAGCCTTTTTGTATGCACAGTTGCAGATATTATTATTATTAATTCATTTTTTTAAATTAGATTCCTGTGTAGGATTGTTCTTGTGATTCTAATTACAGAGAATGCAAGTCAAAATGTAATGAAAAAAGATAGATGTAATATGTTCCAAAATTCACAACATGTTTTTGTCAAACAAAATATTCTGCTTAAATACTTATTTTTAATCGGTGTTCTGCTTTTTTCTTTTTTACCGTTTGCTCTCCCGCTTGCCATACACAAAGGAGGCAGACACATTTATTAACCAAAAGCACCATAAATCCCATTTATACAAGCGCATGAGAATTTATGATGATGACACTGGTGAGTTATTTTCATAAAACAAGTGAACTCAATAGGACTCCACTCATTTAATCTGATGAGTCACTGTAAAAATGTACGATGGACATGTAAAGCTTTATTCGAAAACCTCAATAGAGGCTTTGCATGTCTATTTAAAAAAAAAAAAAAAAAAAAAAGACATTCGGTACAGACTTAGTCAGCATACATTGGTCTATACTGTGTTGTTTTGAATGTGGACAGGGTTTTATCACGCTGTCTGTGATTTTATATAACGGTGACGGTATTCATCACTATTCAGTAATTGTTCTGTACATTCAATTGATAAATGGTTTAAAATAACCATGCCCTACTTCATCACATTTGATAATTTTCTTCTAAAATTAGCATCACTTTAGGCAACAATTTGCTGCCAAAAAACTCAAAACTGTCAAACTAAAATGATTTCTAAATTGAAGCTCGGAACAACCCTTTCAGTATTATAATTGATAAGAAGCATGTGGGTGACTTTGGGTTCTTCATAACTATATATCAAGGCAATAACGCAGAGTCTACTTACCTTTATCAAGCCATTATTTGATTATGTTATTTTATGTTAATCTCAGAATTCCATCTCAAAAGCCTCTCTACTTAACAGTAATGTAACTTTCCATACAGAGATGTAAGTGCTGGTTAATTTGGCGACATCCTGTTGAAGGTTGGTATATATGCAACTTAACACTACAAGTCCCAGATTACCAGGGGCAGCAAAAAAAAAAAGTCAGTCAATAATTGGCCTTTTCTAGTCATTCTGTTAGCAACCCTGATGATGGGTTTACAAACTTAGTGGTGAGGGTTAGGACTTCCTTCACTCTTTGCCTTATTCAAACTGAATCACTGTCAAAAATGAGCGTTGCCTTATGTTGGAGAAACATTTTTGATGGCGGCCAGTGTCAAACTGCAAATATATAAATATTGCAATTCTTCTATCAGTTGAACATCACTAAATCACCATTATGGTTCCAGAGA